GTCCTAAATATATTTTAAACAGAAGATAGTAAAATAAATATGTTTTAGGTGTTTATGCAGTTGGATTGAGACTTTGGAGTGAATTGATCTAAATATAACTTTTGGAAAAATAAAATTAAAATTAAAAAAACTGCGTTATGTGGTGAGTTTAGGAGAATTATATTTAAGTTTGGTGACGAAGCTTTAGTGCGACCCGGATATTTAACGCCATTTTTACCGCAGTGATTTTCTGATATTTTTAATGAAAAAAAAAGAGTTTTTGTATCTGTTAATGTATTCATTTATTCTCTAATCTGTTCTTCTTTTGGCGCTGAAAACAAGCAAAAAAAAACTTTGAGGCCTCATTAATGAACACAAAGAGTGCGTTTTAAGGATTAGAAAGTGCAATAATAATAATAATAATAATGAGAACTTTCAGAAAGCTTTTTTTTTTCTTACCCAACATTTTGCTGAGTTCTGCATTATGCAGGTCCGGGTTCTGGACCGCCAGCCGCTTGCGCTCGTCTTTGGCCCAGACCATGAACGCGTTCATGGGCCGTCGGATCCGCGGCTCCGGCGCCTTGTCCACGGGGGTCCTGTGCGGGCCGTGTCCGTCGGGCGCATCTCCGTCTCCCGGAGGACACTCGAAGGACTCGGGCCACGACGAGTACGCGCTGATGAGAGCAGCCATCCTCGGCGCGCGCGCGCTCTCTCCCCTCTCCAAACTTCAGAAGCGCGTCTTGAGAGTCTCTCCTGAACAAGTTGCTCTCTTTTTTTCACCCTCTCCTTCTCTCTAAATAGGTTTGACTAAAATAACGAGAAACTAAAACGAATGTTTGCTTTTAAAAAGTGAGGAGAAAGACAGCAATCCAGCGGTGATTTGCTTTGCTTTCTGTCGACAGCTGGATGCGAGCAGAGATTTTTAGAAGCCACAGATGCGCGCACATGCAGCGGCTCCTCCTCCTGATTCTGTCTTTCCTGCTGGATGGGGAGGAAGCGCTTTTTATTTGAGGAGCAGGTTCCAGGAGACACCCTGGAGGAATGGACTCCTCCTTGATTAGAAGTTAAACCCCGTGAAGAAAGAGAGGGAGAGAGAGAGGGAGAGCAACATCTCATCTGAAGCAATAAAGTTGCCTCACAACAAAAACACTTGACTCTGTTCTGCTTTCAGGACAAACTTCAAACGAGGTATAGGTTGCTGTAAAAATGAAAATAATAACAAAAACGGGCATATTGTTTTAAGCAGGAAATCAATTTGTCTTTTAATACTGACAACAGATGTTTTGCAACTTCGGCTTTTCTTTTTCCTTCTTACGAGAAATCTGTCAGAAAACCATTGCATGATGACGAACTGGACCAACCTGTTCGTCTGTCTGTACAACACCCAGAAAATTCTACTGGTTAAGTCACATTTTGACTGTTCATTGAACTTTAAGTGCCAGTGTGTGTGCCAAGGTGTTTTTCCTCCACTTCCATACGCAGAACTCAGTGCTGGCTCTAGCCTTTTTGGTGCCCTAGTTGAAGCACAACCCCTAGCCCCCGAACTATGTCCCACCCCAATTTAAACCCCTAAAAACAAGTTTGACAGTGAAAGGTACTATGGTAAACTTAGATTTATTTGCTTTCCCAGAAAGCAAATACAGTAAATAACAAAATACATGTCAACTTGTACAGATTGTCCATAAGTTATAAGGATTTTACATAATTCTGCAGGTATACGGATGTATAGGGCAAGCTCACAAATTTTTTCAAGTCTTACGGATTTTTTCAAAACCTCATTTTCAAATTTATCTAACATGTTATCTAATTTATATGTTATCTAATTTATCTAATTTATTAACATGTTATATCTAACATGCCTGTAGGATGATTTAAAAAACCAATAAATAACATAAAATAGACATCTTCCAAACTGTTCTGCCGGTAGAATTGTTTTGAACTTTTTCCGTTCTCCTTTCCCCTGGAGCAGGACGAGTCAGTGGAACGTCAGTCAAATGAGAGAAAGGGTGGGGGCGAATGCTGCATTGGGGGGGAGAAAATGGTTTATGGGCAGAGTAGATTATTTTCCAAGAAATACTTCATTACTTCATTATAGTTTTTTAAGACAAAGCTAATTGAAAGGGGCGCTGAGCAGAGTTACAACCAGGGATTAAAAAATATTAACTTTATTTTCTTCTGCAGTCCGGCGCCCCCTCCAGCAGATGGCGCTCTAGGCGACCGCCTAGTTCGCCTATGCCAAGAGCCGGCTCTGGCAGAACTTGTAGTTTTAAGGCCCATCTGTCTGAAGCAAAGGATCAAAACATGTTCATATTCATCAGTTTATGGGGCAGAGATTGGTTCTGTTGAACCAAAGAAAGTAAAAACCACTGAACACCCACAGAGAGTGCAAACTAATCAGTTTCCTTCTGTGACCAAAAGCGGTGCGTATCAAATCCAGGAGTTCCTGTTGACAGGATCCTCGCAGGCTGCAGTCATGGAGGAGCTCACACACACACACACACACACACACACACACACACACACACACACACACACACACGCGTTTGTTCATCTATCTTCAAGGGGACTATGCATTAATTTCCACTCATTTACCAGTCATTTCTACAACCTAACCCTGACCTCTAACCCCTGACCCACAAACGGCATTTCCCCCAATGCGGACAGGGATTTTGTCCCCATAAGAAGCAGTTGGTCCTCACCAGGCTGCAGGGGAAAAGGTCAAACATCATCCCCACGAAAAACAAATGCAAATACAGCTGGTCACAGGCCAGGTATAAGAAACAAACCTGACAACAGATTAAAAGCATGTCGGGCGTCAGTTTTCAGCTTCATGCACGTCTTACAAGAATCTACAGCTCATTCCTAACCCCACACAGCCCCCTTACACCCTCACCCCTCTTCCCAAACAGGAACAGGATATGGCACCTGAAGCCACAGATTGTGCACGGTGCAGCCACGTCAGTGATATATAGGGCTGTGTTTCCTCAAGCTGCTCTGACATGAGCCTTACTTGTGTGAACAGTGAAAGTCAGGGCAGCAGAGATGGAAAGATCAGGTACGATGTATGATGTGAGAAACCAAAGCTTCATAAGTAAAAAAATATAATAAAAAAAACTTGAAATCAGGTGGTTAGACTGCAAATACATACTTTTTAAAAGCCCTAAGAAATCCTTAGTGTGTAAAAGCTTAAAGGGAACATGTGCAAAATCCAACTTTTTAGCTGTTAAATGCATTTTATCGTTAAATCAGAATTTAGTCTCTTCCTGTGCTGTGTAGATATCGTTACATTCTGTTTAGATCATATTTTTCAACCTGTTCTGTTTTCTAAATGATGTTTTCTGAACTATCACGTCAAATTATTTGCAACGGAACCTCCAAATAAGGTTTGGACTTACCAACAGTTTGGTTGTCTTCATTCTCCTCTGGCTCTGGGCCAGACTCTGGCTCCAAGTCGTCCCTTGTTGACATAATTTATTACATTTGTAAATAAAATGTTTCTGTGCAACTATATAGTCGTAAACCCCATCCATCAACCTTGAATGTCCCGTTCTGTAAGATGGAGGGAGACAGGGGTGAGTAGCGTCTCCTTTGGATTTAAAGAGACAGCCTCAAAATGAGTTGATTTGATGCATACCTCAGAAAGAGGTGAAGGGGGGGGTTGTGGAGCTACAATAAAGAGCAGTTCAGACCATGTGCAATTTTGTTGTTCCCTAATATGGGTGATAAACATTGGTTTTAGGTCAAATAAACAAGGGAACCTTAACAATGTGTGCTAATTCCATCCAATTTCATGTACACTAATCTCACTCTGTTGTAACAAGTAAGAGGAAAATAATAGATTTTAGAAGTAGATTTTAAATGTAATTAATTCTGGAAATCCTTTCAAGGCCTTTTTGATGTTTCAAGACCCACAGTGGGGTCCAACTTTGGGAACCACTGTTCTCGATTTTATTTAATTCTGAGGCATCATTCCACTAAGTAAAATGTCATCGAGGAAAACAGCAACAAATTTACAAGACAAACATGTCCACGCTCATGTCAGAAAAGTTGAAAAATAATAATCAATATCAGTTTTGCACTTTTAAGCTTTTGCTATGATTAGTTTTAAACAAGAATTTTATTATTTTTATAGCCCTTCGTCAGCTTAATTTCAGCTCTTTCTGCAAATTTCAGCAACCATTCAGCAGGATTTTCACAAAAAAAATGTATTGTGTGCTTAAAACATGGAGTCACTTTAAATAAAAATCTGTCTAGTTTAACAGAAACTTATAGCTTAAACAACAAACGTCTTAGCTTCAGGTAAATAAAGTTTATGTGTTCAGTCTTACCCTGCAGAAAACAATGTGGTTCCTTGGCAGATTAGATCAAATCTTAATTTTTTTTACCAGTTTCGTTATAAACAGATATGAACTGGCCTTTATAAAGAGGTCAATAATCAGCAGTATTTACATTTTTATAGTAATTAAATGACATTTAATTGCACTAAATGGTTGACATAAACATTACCACTTTATGGTGAAAAAGTGATTAACGTTACGTTCATTTAAAACTGGTTTTGAAGACATGAAAGAGACACAAGTCAGACACGAAAAAACTTCTTTGAACTGTGTTATATCATATAAGTCAGAAAATAATTACGTTTTAACCACACTGACATGCAGCTCAGAATGAGTGATTGTGAGGAAATGAAGATACAACTCAGTCTACAGGCTTCATTATATAACTTTGAGTAATTAATATTACATAATATGTGATGCTATTTATGCTATATATTTATGTATGTTTTTTGGTATAATTTGAATTAAATTAATTTAATCCAGATTTGTTTTTGATTCATGATTTTAACTTTTTTTCCGTCCTTTCGTGCCTAAAGTGTAAACTGATGTTTAAGTGAATTAGAAAAATGTTGATATGTTTTATGAAAGTTTGGAAGCTGCCATTCAGCAGTCAGTGCAGGTGCTGGGCATAAAATTAGAATATCGTGAAAAAGTTGATTTATTTCTGTGATTCCATTCAAAAAGTGAAACTTGTTTATGATATTCATTCATTACTCACAGACTGAAATAAATGAAATGTTTATTTCTTATAATTCTGATGAATGAAAATCCCAAATTCCCCCCAAAAAATCAAGAAAAAAAAATAACCCCAAGCCAATGGTAATTGGGCTACACATGACATGCTTATGTAATACCTGGATGGTGTACAGATCACACAGGACATAAAAGGCACTGAATGAATTATTGGGTTAGGTGTACGTCACCCACACCTGTTTGTATCCCATACAGAAATGTGTTTGTAATTTTGTCGGCCATCTTGAAGAATGGTCACTATATATATATATACACACATATGTATATATATACACACATATATATATATATA